CATCCATCCATCCGTCCGTCCGTCCGTCCGTCCGTCCATCCATCCATCCATCCATCCATCCATCCATCCATCCGTCCATCCATCCGTCCGTCCATCCATCCGTCCATCCGTCCATCCATCCGTCCATCCGTCCGTCCATGTGTTTTTTCCCTTGACACATGCTTCTCCAGCCCTTTAGCACAGCACCTGCTGCAGACACTCAGTACAACAGCTCCTGAGCAGCCTGTAAAGACAGTGGTTACGAGCGCAGGTTCTACACCAAAACCACTCACGTGCCGCCACGGATGGGGGGAGCCTGGCTGGGTCAGTTAACCTCCCGGTATCTCAGTTTCCTTGTTTAAATTGGGATAAAAATGGGATCTAACCCACAGAGCCAGAGAGTAGGCACTACCAGGATTCAATGAGATGCATATAAAGGGCTTGGCGCAGGGCCTGGACTGGGCAAAAAGCCCTCCTGCGGCTTAGAATCTTAGGAGGTTATAGACAAGTAAGGAAACCAAAGGGGTTCTGTGATGTGGGGAGTGGCGGTGACGGAGGCCGCTTCTGGGAAGATGATCAGGAAAGGACCCTCTGCAAAGACATTTAACTAATACCTGAAAGATGAAACGGAGCCAGCTCCACGAAAAACTGTGTGGAGGATGTTCCAGGCACAGGGCAGGGTAAATGCAAAGGCTCTAAGTGGAACAGGGTGTGAAATGTTCTAGAACGTGCCAGGAGGCAGTGTTGGCTGAGGTAGACAGAGTCACTAGCAGTCACGGAGTGTTGGGAGGGTAAGGTTGTGAGCACCTGGAGAGCATGGAAGGCCTCCCCATGCAGTGGGAAGGCATTTGGGGTTTTAAGCAGGGGAGTGCATGATCCCAAAGTGGGGTCTGGACAGGCCCATCACTGCCTTCAGCTCCTCGCAGCCCAAGGGAAACATGAGGTGGACCGGACCGTCTGGCACCGGGAGGAGCTCAGCAAAGAGAGTAGGATGGGTCCTATTGTGCAGTGTGTGGCCTATGGACCCCCAATTCCTGGAGCCCCGTGTGGAAGCACAGACCCGTGGCTTGATCGTTGCAGAGGGGCCTCAGGGGCCATGCCAGCTGTCTGTCCTCCATCTCCTATCCCAATCCCTTGTGGGAAACTGAGGCATGAGCCTGTCCAGCCCCTCTGAGCTCAGGGTGCTGGCCACGCCCACGGAGCCTGGGCATCTGTTCTGTGTGCCTCCCTCCCTTTGAGAAGATTAACACCCACGGTGCTGTCCCTGCGCCTGCACTCAAGGCCAGTTCTTTCCCAGATTCTATTAGAAAAACTCAAAAAGGAGTGTCATCCGTGTCTTAGCTTCAGGGGACAAGCTGGGGTATTACTCAGCAGCCAGCCTCCCCTTCTTTCAACAAAGGAAACTGCAATGATGCTTAAGAATTATTTAGAGCTCAGAGTATGACTGAGATGGTATTTCTGTTTAAGTGACATCAGGACAACAAGGAAAAGCAGTAGGGTTGTTTTTTTTTTTAATTCTTTATTTAAATTCAATTTAGTTAACATAGTATTAGTAGTTTCAGGAGTACAATTTAGTGATTCATCAGTTGCATATAACACCCAGTGCTCAGTCCATCGTGTGCCCTCCTTAATGCCCATCACCCGGTTACCCCATCCCCCCACCCACTCCCCTCAAGCAACCCTCAGTTTGTTCCCTAGAGTTCAGGGCCCCTTATGATTTGCCTCCCTCTCTGTTTTCATCTTATTTTTTTTTTCCATCCCTTCCTCTATGTTCCTCTCTTTTGTTTCTTAAATTCCACATAGGAGTGAAATCATATGGTATTTGTCTTTCTCTGACTGATTTATTTCCCTTAGCATAATACCCTCTAGTTCCAGCCACATCATTGTAAATGGCAAGATTTCATTCTTTTTGATGGCTGAGTAATATTCCATTGAATATATACACCACATCTTCTTTATCCATGCATCTGTTGATGGACATCTGGGCTCTCTCCACAGTTTGGCTATTGTGGACATTGCTGCTATAAACATTGGGGTGCAGGTGTCCCTTCGAATCACTATGTTTGTATCCTTTGGATAAATACCTAGTAGTGCAATAAAGTAGTAGGTTTTTAAAGGCTGAAGTATTCATGGGTCTTTGTATTACTGCACAGAGTCACATTTTAAAGCATTACAATTAATCTTTCTGCTGGTATACCCCAAAATTCCTCTTGTCCACAAGTTTGCTGACTGTCGTCTACCAAAACCTCATCTTCTCCAATTCCTGGCTTTCCTAGAAGATTTTCCATGTCTCTCTTACATGAAGTGAGTCTTCTTCTTGGACATCCATTCAAACTAGCTTTTGGTTAGAAAGCCTTAAAATGATATCTCTTTGTATTATAAATTACCTCTCTACAAATTCCTGTGTGTGTTACTCCTCTTAGTATTAGGTTCATTCAAAATAAGAATCTAGTACTGTCAGGAGTGGAATTACTAAAGTATTAACAAAATGTAAGCAAAATAATAAAATTATGAGCAAGCAGTAAATAATAGAAGTAATAATATTATAACTCGAATTATATTACATTTTTCTTTTTCTCCTCTCTCTGTGATCTTGGAGCCGACCAAGCCCCTCCTTCACCAGGAGCACTGAGGCTGTTACAGGCCCTGCCCCATGCAGGCCATAGCTCCTGGCTCCTCCTCACCGCCCTCTCTGCTCTGTGCATCTTCCTGCAGGCTTCTCTGCAGCTCTGACCCACCCCCTCTCTGTCCCCATTTCTCCAGCCTGTCCCTTTAGATGACCCTCTCCCCTCAAGCCCCTGCCTCTTGACCTCACACCCCATCTCTCTGCTTCCCTTCAGAACCACCCTCTGGAAAGATTCATTGACCTTTTCTGTCCCCATCTCCTTGGCCTCCCCTGTAGCTATCCCAGTCAAGGTTACCAGCCTCCCACACCTCCCCCACCTGCCCCTGCCCATCCCAACAGGGCTGCAGTCTCCCCGACAGTGAGCCTGTCCAGCTCACAGGAGGGATACTTAGAAGATGGGGATTTGAGACCAAAAGCAACAGGGAGGTTAACCTCCCCCAGCATGATCAGTACAGACTGAAGGGGGGATGGTGCAGGAGGATCCATGTACCTTTGTCAGTGAGTGTGAGAGATCGTCTGTTTTATGTTTTTGGCACACCCTTCTCCAACATTCGCTGGTAAGCAGAGCACAAGTCAGACCACTGTATGGGTCTAACTGATGTAAGCCAGGCATATCCTAAATATGTGGAAATCCATGTAAAACAGGGAGGCTGCTTTCAGTTCTGGGCGTGGCTGGGAGAGAAACTGGAGAGATGGACTGTAAGGAAAATATTCCTATCTGTTTCGTCCAAAACTTCCCACTTACGTCTCTTCCCTGTTTGTCAGCGCTCTGGTTGCAAAACCCAACTCAAGCCAACCGAAGCCCAAGAGAGGGGTTTATTGGGGAAGAGTAGAGGCAAAGTGGGTCCCCCGCACACCTGGAAAGTCTCCCCCTTTCTCCCCTCTGCCAGAGCTGAGTGATGGCTTGGTCCTCTGGGCAGCGTCCTTGAAAAGCAAGGGACCAGGCTGAGGGAAGCCCAGTGAGCATATTTTTGGAGCTCTGAGAACAAGGAGACAAGACTTCTTCCCAGAGGTCCCAGCTCACCGCATGCTGTAGGGAAGATTTCTGACGGGCTTGCTTGGATCCCATGTTTATCTCTGGACTGGAAGCCGAGCGACCCCCAGCACAATGAACAGTGTGAAGCGCGTTCTCTGAAGGCTGGGGTTGCGGGGAGACAGCATCATTGGCAGGCACTGTACCTCCTGCAAAGTCCAGTATTTAAGACAGCTCTCAACTCCTCATTGCCCAGGCAGATGCAACCCAGGCTCCATGCACAGGGACCCTTCCCTGTCTCGCACCCAGCCAGCTCCCCAGATTTCAGACCTTAAGTCTCCTGGCCTTGCCATCCTCTGCCTGGAATTCCCTCCTGCTCCCACCCCTCCTTTGTGTGGCCAACTGCTGCTCCAGAGGCAGGCTTCCTGTGTGGAGCCTTCTCCTTCCGCAACATCCCACCTACCATGTTCCGTCCGCCCAGTGAGACTGTGCCTCCCTCTGTGGCCGCCCCCCGCACACTGGGTGGGGTCTCCTCTGTCACCCTGCCAGGCTGCAGTGTCCTTATTTACCTATGTACCCTCACACCTAGTACAGCACCTCACATGCAATAAGAGCACAGGAACGATCTGTCCCAGTTCTGTTGAAAGAGAAGAAAAGAGCGCATATTACAAAAGAAATGGCTAAATAATTTAAAACGTAAAGAAGCTCATGCTTGACTCTCATCCATGAAGATCTAGTGGACCACATGCAATTTTAGTTAGGATAAAGAGGGCTTCTCCTCTCCCCTTCAGTTTATCTTAAAAATTTGATACTGCAATGTGTCCGAAATCATTTTTCCTCACCTCCTGTAGCACTGCTTTGAACATTTCACTGTTGTTCTGAGTTCTTCTTTGACATTTCCATATCGATAGCTGCTTCTCTCACCCAAGGAAATATCAGCAGGGGCAATATTGTGGACCCAGAATTATTTTCCCAATAGGTGGCGCCACCATTGATTCTAGATGGGAGAGCCTGGTGACAGCCAGGCAGGTAATTCTCCCAACCTGGAAACCTGCACATGCGATTTGCAGAAGAGTGTGTGTTCTGTGCACGTTCCAGCATGCACGTGCACTTGTGTGCATGTGTTGCTGGGTGTGCATACGCCTGGGAGTGTGTTGGAGGAACGAGGTGAGAGAGAGGGAAGGCTCCACGTGTAATGTGGGCGCTGTTGTGCGAAGCACATGTGTCTGAATCCCACCTGCCTGGGTCTCCTCGCACCTCCTTCCTGAATAGGGTGGAACGTCCTCTGGGAGCCTTATGGGGTCATCTGTAGAATAAGGATGGGTCAGATGCTGGCTGCCCAGTGGCCTAGAAACTCACAAGCAACCTATCAATAGGATGTTACACTCATCTTTTTTGTGTGTTGTTTCTGCTTTTCCACAGAGGTCTCATTGCTAGCAGTTTCACGGAAACTCATTATCTGCAAGATGGCACTGATACCTCCCTCAGTCGAAATCACACGGTAAGTCCGGCAGCAAGACCCCCATGATCCCGTGCTATCAAATCTGGGCTTGCACTTTGCGGCTGTTTTATCCTAGCAAAGTCACACGCCCAGGTTCTTCCCTTAGATCCCGTGAAGAGCCTGTGCATCCTCAGGATTTGGGCGTTGCATCCTAGCTCCAGGAAAACTTGGCCTTGGCCAGCTTTGTGCCGGGACAGGCCTTGGGGCATGGCTGACCTTGAAACCACCTTCCAACCACTGGGGGCTGCTCAGTTAGGCAAACCCCTTCTAGAAAACGTAGCAAAAGTTCAAGATGGCTTGGAAAGCCGTCATCCCTGGGCTGCACTTAGCTGTGTTACACTTTAAGCATCTTAAAGAAATTCAAAGGAAACCTGATTCTGGTGAACCTAGACATGTATCCCACTTATTAGAAATGCAACCTACCTATTGTAAGTGTATCCACCATAAATAAATGTATAAGCCGCTTATTTATATAAATGATAAATCCACCATAAATAATATAGTTCTATATCGTGGTTGTTACTATAATATGACCTTTATCACCTTTTAGCTTTCCTGGTATTTGAAGTTTTATATGTAACTTGGACAAGATGCTAATTTTATCTGATCCTTTAACAAGTGCTTACTGGGCACTCTCTGTGCTCAGCCTGTGTATGTGAATATAGGGATTTAAAGAGAGTTGCTGCCCTCTGAGGACTAGGAAAATTACTTAAAAAATAAAAAGCTGTGGATATTTGTTGTAAAAAGAATTAGCTTAGAGGAAGGCTTTACATTTACAGCTGAAGTGTTGTCAAGCAGCTGTGAGTATCAGCAGGGATCTCTCCCTTCTGTGAACTATGCCAACGCTGCTTTTCTTTATCACGTGTTCGGCACGTGGCAAGTACAAATTGATACCTTCAGACTCATAGCAGTTTATTTGGTGGAATGACCTAATACTGATCTTCCAGCCTGAAGAAAGCACATAGAAGTCCTGGATAAAATATAACCGTCTATGAACTTCTGTTAATACCTGGTCAAGCTTAAAAGAGAGTCCAGGAAATCCCCGGAGGCAGCAACAAAGAGGGAATGTAAGCTCAGAGCAGTAGGCTGGTGAGTTGGGGTCATGGGACCTCAGAGGGTTACCTGGTGCTTGGGATTTGGGGCAAGAGAAGTGGGCACCTACAACTGAGAGTCCACAAAAACTGGGCCCCCAGAGAGCTGCTTCCTCTGTGAAAAAGGGACAAGAAGAACTCTAGTCCAGAGAAGGGACAACGAAGAGAATTGTCTCAAGGTATCTTGGATTGAAGAAAGCTCTCATAAAAAACAGAGAAATTGAAACCCCAGCTAGCCTTATAAGTATATGTTTGCAGTGGGGTGGACTAGTGTCTAAATTTCTAATACCTGTATAGAAATGTAATTCCCAGCCAGTATATTGACCTCAAAAATATATTGGGACCAATCGTAGCCTGACTGGTCCCAAATCAGCAATCCTGGGTCCCCTGGGCTGAAGCCAACCCAAAATAGTTCTGTAGAGATATCTCTATGGCTCAGATCATGAGACGCCCATGCCAAAAACAAAGAATACTGATGAGTCCCAAATCAAAATTACAAAACACACAGTGAGAAAAGCCACTATAAGTGAGCATTGGTGGACAAGAATAACAAGAGAACCAGCACCTCTGGGAATGCAAGATAATAGAAAAATCAGACAAATTTGTAAATATTTTAAAGACAACAGAATAGAACTAATAGAATTCCAGAGTGAAGGGGCACTTGGGTGGCTCAGTCAGTGGAGCGTCTGACTCTTGATTTCGGCTCAGGCTGTGATCTCAGGGTCATGAGATCAAGCCCTGCGTCAGGCTCTGTACTCAGCATGGAGTCTGCTTGAGATTCTCTCTTTCCCTCTGCCCCTCCCCCTACTCGTGCACTCTCTCTCTAAAATAAATAAATAAATAAAATCTATTTTTTAAAAAAAGAAATTCCAGAGTGAAGATACAGAAAGAAAGAAAATAGAAAAGAAGCAGTGTTTAAACCGAGTGTGATGAGAAGGTCCCGGAATTGAAGAAAGACATGCATCGCAAGTAGGAAGAATAACAATAAATTCCCACCAGGATGGCTGGTAGTAAAACTGCAGACCACCAAGGATGAAATCATAAAACCACCTGAGATAAAAGAGACATTTGTACAAAATGACAAGCAAACCCACAACAGACTTCTTGTCAGCAACTACAAAATTAAAGTTTCAGAAAACCAAGGGAAAATTACAAAAATAATAGTAAAATACATTTGCACACAAAGACGAGAGAATTTACTATTCTCAAATTCTAACAGAGTATCTACCAAAGGGGCTATTGCAGGAAGAAAGAAATGGAACACAAGAGGCAAGGGTAGTAGGAATCAGAGGCAATAGTAAGCAAAATAAGTGCATGTGAATAAATTTAAGTAAGCTATTTAAAATAATAATTACAACAATAATGACTAAATTTGGATGTTTTAAGACAAGATGAGCAAATAGTACAAATTTAAGAATTTGTATTGTACTTGACAATAATACAGATACAGATTAACTTCAGCTTTTGATAAATATCTTGCCAATTTAAGTATAACCCTTAAAAGAATAGAAAAGCAGAACATATAATTCCAAATAATCGACGGTGAACAAAAATAGTGTATCAGCTCAGGAGAGGGCAGGAAAGAAGGAAAAGGATTTGAAAAGCAGAGTAGATATAAAACACAAAACAATTACATAAAAATGAGTCAACATAGTAATCTAATTATATGTAAATAGATTGAACTTGTTTGTTAAAATAAAAACAGAATATCTGCTTAGAACTTAAAATCCAGCTACGTAATTTTTACAAGATTCACACGCAAAATACGAAATGATTGTGAAAGGAGTAGAAAATATATAGTAGACAAATATTAACTTAAAGAAAGCTGCTTTCATAGCATTAGTATCAGATGAGCTAGATCTTCAGGCAAAGAGAAAAGGCATTATTATGGATAAAAGGGTTGATTACTTAATGATAAAAGGAACAATTCAAAAGAATGGTAAAATAACTGTGAACCTATGCGTACCAGTAAAATAGCCTCAAAATCTGTGAAGCCATAATCAAAAGAATTAAAATAAACTGACAAATCCACAACCAGAGAGGGAGATTTAAATATACCTCTCTCAGAAATAAAGATTTTAAAAGATGAGCTGAAATTAATGAAAGGGAAGACCAAAAAAAAATTGAGAGAGTCAAGCCAAAAGATGGTTCTTTGAAAATATTAGTAAAATGAATAAAAAACAAATCTAATCGTGAAGAAAGAAGAATTCCCAAGCAATGGTATTAAGAACACAAAGACAGGCATAACTATTGCCATACAGAGATTTTGAGAATCACAGGAATGCTATCAACATTACTAACCATTTTCTTAAAAATGTAAATTCTTAACGCTGTTCAAGGTGAAACAAAAATGTAAATATAACTATATAAATAAATTAAATCAAAAATAGTATTTTTTAAGTCCCCCCCCCAAAATAATATCAAACCCAAATATTTTATCAGGTAACTTTTGCCAAACCTATAAAGAACAAATAGTCCCTGAGAATTCTTTTTTTAAGGAGGAGAGGGGAACTATAAAAATCAGCAAAAGAGCATCCACAACATGAATATTATAGACTAGTTTCAATTATGAACATAGTTGCAAAAATCCTAAATAAAATATTTACAGATCACATCCAGCACATATTTTTAAAACTACTTTGTGACCAAATGGTACGTATTTGAGGAATGCAAAAATAGTTCAGCATCAGTGTATCTAAGAATGTAATTTAATGTATTAGTATCTCTAGATGAAAAGTATTATTATAACTGATATCATTTCTTCAAATATAATCCAAAGTATTTATCATGTAGATTATAAGAGCTCTTATGGGTGGGGAATGGCAGATTGGCAGAATCGCTGATAGACCAGAGGCGAGAAAATCTGTTAGGGACCTAATATAGTTGACGAAGGTTTTGCCCACAGAAGTAGCCTTGCAATGGATGGAACTGGGCAGAGTAAAGAAAACTTGAAGAGGCAGAAGAGACAAAATCCGGTGACAGTGGATGAGGGGTGTGTCACCAACAGTGCTCAGTCCCTTCTGCTTAGGTGCTCAGCGGGCCATGTGTTCTCACTGGCACCATTAAGGAGCAGTTGTTGGTTTGGGAAGGCAGAGGGGACAGTGAGGACAGGTTTGTCCCCATTGAGTCTGTAGTGGGACAGCCAAGTAAAGGTGTTCAATAGGCAGCTGGGTATATGAATCTGGAGTCCAGGAGAAAGATGGAGGTAAAAAATGAAGATCTGATGATCGACCTCAGGTCCAGTCATTGGCGCCATCATTTCACACTTGACTTTCTGGTTTTTCCTCTTTTTTCTCCTAGGATGCTCTCATTTAATATATGCTTTATAGTTATCACTAAGGCTGTCTTCACAGTGTAATTGCTGTTCCAGATAGAAACAGAAAAAAGAGATCTGAGCAATGCAGTGACAGTAAGCTTGAGTCCTCCACTTACCCATCATATGTGAGGGTGAGTGTCCCTCTTCTAGCATGGACACACCCAGAATGTGTAAGATATGCTCCCAAAGTTATTCCACCAGTTTTGTGGTTTTGGTTTCAATCTCCCTTACTAATTTTCCTTTTCTTAGGCAATTTTTTTTCCTTTTTTCTCATGTGGGAAGACAAATATGATAAGAGAGAAGAAGAGACAGAGGACTAGGGACCCGGACAGTGCGGGCTGTAGGCTACAGAGGTAGCCGTCTTAGAGACTAGCCACATGGGACCGTGCCAGCATGCTAACAGTGGCCATCTCTGTGTGGGGAGGCTCTGGATTTTTCTATTTTCTGTGATTTTTGTGTATATATGGTGAGTGGGAGGATTATGTTTTCTTTCTTCTTGTTTCTCTACAAGGTCAGTGTATAGACAGGCAAATGTCTACCCCATCCATCTATTCATCCCTCACTCCTCTGCACGGAAGTGTCTTTTATAGGGA